GTCTTTCCCTTTCCGTTGGGGGGGATTTTTGTTTTTCCAATTCAAGACAAACCCCTTTTTTTTTTTTTTTTTAACAACAGTTCTTCACCTGACGATCAGGTTAGCTACCCTTCGGGTTCACAGTTTGTTTCGCTTGGGCTTTGGACGCAGTTGCCGAGGCAGATGATGAAGTGGAGGACGAGGAGGAAGACGACGACGAACTCCATCGGGTCTCTACGCCGGTGCTCGTCATCTTGAGCTTCCTTCGCTTGGCAAGCGGAGCGTTGTCGACACTTTTCAGAAAGAAGCCCTCCCTCTTACCGCGGTTAAAAGCCTGGTGTGAGAGAGAGAAAGACGAGAGAACGCGCTCAAGCCACGTCCCGTGAGGACGACCGTGCGACGGAGTTAGGAGGATGAACATGCAGTTACACGGAAATACCTTGTAAGTAGCGTTGACGTAAGTGCGAACGGTCGGTCCACTGGACTCCAGCACATCAGGAGTGCACAAAGGGGTGGTGGACATGGACGCTCCTCCGTGCAGCCAACTGTTCTCCTTCAAATCAGACAGTTTGAGGCGATTCTCTGGATCCACTGTGAGCAGACCTTCAATCAGAGAGAAGGGAAGTCAGATTAGTTATTAGCCTGACACATCTCTGACCTTGGTGATTTTTTTTAATTAAAAAAAAAAAAAAAAAAAAAAGCACATTTTTGTTCTGTTGAAATAAGTATTGAATATTTCATTCACTGATGTAGGACTTTTAAAACATTACAGACGGCCCCATAAGAATGCGTGCACTTTTACACGCACCTTTAACAAGCTCCTTAGCCTCTTCGGACACGCCCTTCCAGGCCTCTCCGTCCAATGAGAAATCGCCTTCTTTTATCTTCTGCATGATGTCGGCGGCATACGAGGAGGTCATACCACACTGTTCGCTCTGAAATGGCACCTGGCCTGACAGCATGGTGTACTGAAAAAAACAAACGCACGTCATTAGGACTTGCATCGCTCACCTCAGGTGATGCAACAGAAGCGTCTGACCGAGACCTTACAAGGATGACCCCTAGGCTCCAGAGGTCACAGGACTTGTCATAGCCGGCGCTGTCAAAAAGTTCAGGTGCGGCGTACTGCAGCGTAAAGCAAGGGGTCTGGAGGGGGGCGCTACCAGCGGGACACAGGCGGGCAAATCCGAAGTCTATGACTTTAAGCACAGATTCCTCGCCTTCATCTGTAAACAGCACATTCTGAAAAGTGGGGGGGGGGGGAAATAATAGAATTGAATTTAATAGAAAAAGGATTTCGTTTCGTGAAAGACAGGAAAAACATCACCGGTCAACACACTCTCATCTACTGCTACATTTTTGTTTGTTTCTGACCTTTACACAAGCATTTTCCCATGTGTATAGCATTTTCATTTCAGGTTCATCACATGGCAAAGGTGGGAGCAAACAAAAAAACACATTTACAAAAATACATATTTTTAAATTAATTACAGCAAACTAAATGATTACGGTAATTTCCGATCTATAAGCCGCTACTTTTTTCGCAGGCTTTGCACCCTGCGGCAAAGGATTTTTACGGGCTAGCGAAGTTCAGACCGCTAGCGATCAATGACCTTTCAGGAAGGCTACTGTGTGTTATGCTAGTAGCGTATGTCTGTCTGTGAATGGCTGTGTGCGTACATGTGCAGGAGCTGTTAAAACTCTGTTTATGTTCCGTTGTGGTCGGTGTGGCTGATAATAAAGACCCCAACTTCCCTGTTTCTGTTTACCTCTGCTGCGGACAAGCACAAAATGATGGGAGTTAGCCCCGCAGCTAATGTTAGCTTCAACCCCGAGCAGATCGCTAGCCATGTTGGGAAAAAATCTTTCTGTGTAAATATCCCATGTTACAACATGGACACCTATGGCTTATAAAATAGTGCAGCCTAAATATGTACAATTGTTTTTTTTTCTTTTTAAATTTAGTGGTGCAAGCTTATATTCAGGTGTGCTTAATAGTCCGGATATTACGGTAATTACAGCAAACTTAATGATGATATATGTTTGTGTTGTAGAATATATCAATCTTTTACCATTTTCCAACCGAAACCTACAGGTTATAACTGCATTATGACAGCAAAAGAAAATAAAAAGTTGGCTGCACGCAATTCACTATTAAAAAGTGAAAATTCTCTTATCAACTGCTTTGGCAGTAACCCTTTTATCCATGACTCGTCAATTATTTGCCATGAATCTTAAGTGCTAAAATGATGTAACACTGTGCTCATCTTTCATATTCTATTTCTAAAAGATGACATGAGGACATAATAAAATAATCCTGACGGAGCTCACCTCCGGTTTGAGATCTCGGTGTACAACGCCGACGCCATGCATGAAGCTGACGGCTGAGACCAGGCTCTGCAACAGCTGACTGGCTTCCGCCTCGCCAAAAAGTTTCTTCTTCTTGATCCTTTCCAGCAACTCCCCACCCTGGAGTAGCTCCATCACCAAATACGTGTGATACTGGTAGGGACAAAAAAAAAAAAACGACAAACAAATCTTAAGATTAGGATCTGTGAAAGCATATTTTCCTGCTCGCTATGCTACACGTCAGTCGTTCTTAAAAAAAAAAAAAAAAACCTGATCAGTGTAGACGTCGTGAAGCTTGACAATGTTGGGGTGAGCTTCACACTGCCTCAACGCAGCAATCTCCCTCTGAGTGTTGGACTCCATTCTTAAACCAGACAAAGACAAACATTCGGTTGGAACCCGAGGCATTTGACGGTGCAGTGGTGAGAACCTCAAATATACAAACTTTCTGCAACCTGTCCTCAACTACCTTTTTTCCCACTTATATATAACATGTGAATGAAAGAGTCAATAATTTCACTGCAACAGGTGGCTGAAGGGAGCAAATCTGAAAACTCGGCTTAAAAATCAACAACGAAATACAAATGTAACAAAAAAATATAAAAGAAAGAAAAGAAAAGCGTTTACATTTATTTTTGAAGACATTATATAAATACTCAAGTATTGATGATTTACCCACTCGGTAAACGCATTATATAAATACTCAAGTATTGATGAGGAGCGGGGTAAACAACATCATCATCACACCATCATTCAAACAAAACTGGGCCTGTGGTTCTAAAAACCAAACCCACTGTTACAAACAAGATCGAGGTGTTTGAGGTTAGGTCAAAAAGTTCTGAAGTAAATTCCATTTTTCTGTTCATGAAAATCCATCTTTTTTTCTTTTTTTTTTTAA